GGAATTATCAGCGGAGAGGTATTAAACCATTAAGGAGAGTGGATAAGACGTTTTTGGCAGAGAGTTCAGAGGGGCCTGGGAAATGTCTCCATTTTCACTTTGGGGGCATATAAACTAGGAAGAAGAACTGTCAAAGTAAACTTGAGAAGTTACGAGATTAACCAGTTCTAGGAGCGAAAAGAAGAGTGAGTTTCAAGAGGGTTTGTGTTTAAACACTGCTAAGAGGTCAACAAGGATTTCCTGGTTCAATTATGTTGAAAAATAATCCTGTATTAGAGCCTTTCCGGGTAAGACTCTCTTCTATCGATCCCTTACATTACAGTGTGATAGACATAATCCAGTCCTCCTCTCTGTGATTTGACACAGTCATCCTTCTGAAAAGTATCAGCCCAGAGATTTGTATCATTACAAAAATCTCGTGAATGTGGATACAGAATTGCTGGAAATTATATTGAAAATATGAGAAGTCTAAAAGATATACAGCAAAGTTATTTGCTAATTATAATAAAACCGTAGCACAGGAGAGTAATAGAAAGAGGGGAAGAAATTGCAGGAAAAATTGAGCAAGGCAAGCTGTTTCCTAAGACAGAAAAAGTGATTGCATCGAAGGATGATGAGCACCTATGAAAAGCATTAAGCTCCTTTCCCCATGGAGACACTGGATTTGTTTTTGCAAATGTGTATACCAGGCGAGTGAAGGCTACATTACGGCCTATGACTTTCTGGAAGGCAGGAAATTGAAGAGATTGCAGAAAAATATCACCAGAAATATGCCCAGCATTGGCAGAGTGAGGGGAGAGCAGTTCAATTTGGACTGCTCAGCTGGTAGAGCCAAGAGGATCGTGCTGGCCGCCTCTTAGACTCAGTAAGAGGAGTGGCGTTCCGGAGAGCCAGGAAGATGGACCCAGAAGCGAACACGCCCATGGTTTTTGAAGCCTAGCACAGGAAAAAAAAGTCACTAATGTTTGTGAGTCAAGTAAACAGATTTGAGAGACTGAGGTCACCCAGGAACTCTCATTAGGTATCTCTATACTTAACGTTTGAGCTAAATATATTTTCTGTTAATTAAAACTCTCAGTGTAGCTGTGCTTTTGAGTACTTTTCTCCCATTTCAGATATTCCCCAGAGTGCTGGGGATG